CCTTGTGCCACTTTTCACTGGCCTGACTCCTGATTGTACTCTCAGGGGTCTCCAGAAAAATAGAACCAGTGGGACATGTATGTGTATGTGTGGGGACAGGGGCAGGGTAGAGAGAGAGAAAGACTTATTCTAAGGAATTGGCTCTCAGTTAGAGGCTGACAAATCTGAAATCTGCAGGATGGGACCCGGAGAAGAGCCCAATGTTGCAATTCAAGTCTGAGGGCCACCGGCTGGCAGAATTCCCTCCTGCTCAAACCAGGTCCATCTTTGTTCTGATCAGACCTTCAGCTGATTGGGTGAGGCCTACCCACATTATGGAGGGCATCTGCTTCACTCAAAGTTCACTGATTAAATGGTTTTTGTTTTGAGACAGTCTCGCTCTGTTGACCAGGCTGAAGTGCAATGGCTCGATCTCAGCTCACTGCAACCTCTGCCTCCTGGGTTCAAGTGATTCTCCTGCCTCAGGCTCTTGAGTAGCTGGGATTACAGGTGCACACCATGGCATTCAGCTAATTTTTGTAAAAGTAGAGATGGAGTTTCATCATGCTGGCCAGGCTGGTCTCAAACTCCTGACCTTCAGGTGATCCTCCCACCTCGGCTTCCCATACTGCTGGAATTAGAGGCGTGGACCAACCACACCTGGTCTGATTTAAATGTTAATATCAATCCATACACCCTCACAGAAACATCCAGAATAATGTTTGGATATATATCTGGGCACTGTGGCTCAACCAAGTTGACACATAAAATTAACCATCACACTCACCCTATTGTGAGGACTTCTCACACGTTTGCTTTGTTACATTGGTAATTACTAGCTCAGTACATGTTGGTGGGGAAAAAAATGAATGACAAGAAGTGCCAGCTGCATGTCAGACGAGGGGGTTCAGGCATTTGCCTCTGTATTTCAGAGCAGAGAGCAGTTTCTTGGGGACAAAGATGTCCATAAAAAGAGGCCTGGACCTGGGTTTTGAAGGCACACTGGGATTCAGAGAGGTAGAAAGTGTCCATCCCCGCTGGAGGGAATATACCTGTCCCACACCTGTGTATTGGGTGCCCATCATGTGCTGAGCGTTGTGTACACAGGACCTGCCGTGGGGCTCAGATGGTGGAGTGGAGCACGATATGGATGGTGGAGGCCAGCTTCTGGAAGGCCTTAGAGTAAGCTGGAAAAAGTTCTCAGTTTTTACAAACAGAATCCTGTCCAAGCTCTAGAAGATTTATTTGGTTATCCTCGCCCCAACTTTTCTCAAGCTGGGGGTGGCCAGTTTATTGGCTGGACCTCCAAGGATTGGTCTCACAGACCCTCCAGATGGCTCCTATCTTCAGTCCCAATTTACAAGCCTACGTGAGGAGTGGGTGGATATCCAGTCTGCTGCAGCCTCTGAGAATTCAAAGGCAGAGGACTGGCCCTGGGAAGGAGGGCTCCCGGGGCAGGAAGATGCTGGGAGGCCCCGCGGGCACCAGCCTGCTTGGTATAGAAGCAGCCCGGAATTTCCATGCAGAGAGCCAAGTCTGGAAGCAGCCCTCACAGCATCTCTTCCAACTGTTTGGGCAGCCAGGGAGTACCGTGCCAGGGACAACCCTGACAAAGTGACCCGGAGAAGCGTCGGAATCCACACTCGGCCCCGGGGGGCCTGGCCTGGGGTCAGCAACAACACCCATGGAAGCAATAGCAGGAAGGGACTCTGGGACTCCGGGGGAGCGTGGAGAGCCACATCCGCTGTGCCCACGTGGTGAGCAGGTTTGCGGGCAGGGAGAGGAGGACTCCAGATCCCCATCCTGTAAACGGTGCCATCTTTTGTGCCAGTTCAAGACTCAGTGCTGTTTGTCAGGAACAGAAGTGCTCATCTCCACCAGCTCTTCCGGGTAAAACTTATTTTTGAGGGAAAAGTTATTTTCAGGTACAATAGGAAACCTTTGTTGGTCTGATTTCATTTAGAAGTGACTCCTTTCCCAAAAACAGTAACATTAAAAGTCCCAACCTCCATTGGCCTTATAATGAAGGGCGCATTAGTTCAGGTCTCTCTGCATAAGATAAGGGTGACCTCAATTTATGGGAGCCAGCGCCGCCTGCATGGGCAGTATCTTGGTCCTAGGAAGCCAAGCTCAGCAGAGGAACTGGGGTAGGGACAGTGCTTTATAAACCATGCCCTCTAGAAGGTCACAGAACTTTTCTCTTCAGCCTCATAACACTTCCTCCTAAACCAGTTCCTCTTCCCGATTCCCCAGCTCTGTCAATTCAGTTTAGTTTTTATTTTATTTTATTTTTGTGACAGAGTCTCGCTCTGTAGTCCAGGCTGGAGTGCAGTGGTATGATCTCGGCTCACTGCAAGCTCCACCTCCCAGGTTCAAGTGATTCTCCTGCCTCAGCTTCCTGGGATTCCTGCGCCACCACTCTCAACTAATTTTTGTACTCTTGTAGAGACAGGGTTTCACCTTGTTGGTCGTCCTGGTCTCGAACTCCTGACCTCGTGATCTGCCCACCTTGGCCCCCCAAAGTGCTGGGATTACAGGCTTGAGCCACTGCCCAGCCAACTCAGTTTAATTATTTAACAAGTATTTATTGAACACCTACTATGTGTCAAGCAGTGTTGTGGGCTTCTGTGATATATCAATGAACAAAACTGATAAACATCCCTGCCTTAATAGAGCTTGCATTCTAGCTGGAGGTGGAGGTCAGGGAGATGGAAGAGAAACGAGCATAATCAATGAGTATGTGAGAGATCGTGTTCACATAGGAACAGTGTAATGGGGGGACAAAGTAGGGCCAGTGTGAGCAGCATCTGGGGCCTGGGAACAGGGACCACGGGCAGGGCAGGTGACAGCATTAAACAGAGCAGGCAGGCATCACACTATGAAAATGCGCATCTCAGAACTGAGTAACTGGCCAAGCATCCGCTGCTGGATTCTGAGATGCACTTGCCTTCAGGACAGGCCTCCCATGGGCTGCTCACAGCACTGCGGGGATATGAGGCTCGTTCCTGGGAGACACGGGGCTACTCAAGGTGCCCCACAGCCTTGCCCAACTTTCTCAGAGCCACCTGCAGATTAAGTTACTCCCACCCAACCTTCCCACCATCTCTCCTTTGGGGGTGTCAGGTGAGTCTCCCAGCCTTTCCTTGCTCCTGCCTCATTTTCTTTCACTGGAGTGGCTCCTAAGAACTCTCTCGACCAGCTAAGCCCACTGTGGCAACTGCCTCTTGGAAAAGCCTGCTCACCCATCAGGTTGGGGCTCATTGAGAAGGTGGGACTGGAGCATTGAGCCATGCATGAATTGGAGTGCTCGCTGGCGCCCTCCTCTGTTCCGGAGTTGCCAGATCCTGTCCATCACCCCAGAAACAGCTGCTGCATATAAGCTCTTTGTGCTTTTCCCACCATGTAACTCCTTAAGGGTCTTGCTATGTCCCCTAGGCTATTGCCCCGCCACCATTCTCTTCCTTCTCACCCCTGCAGTCCATGCTTCTCACTGCTTCCAGGTGACCCTCCTAAGTCATGGCCTGATCTTGGTGCTGCCCTGCTCAGAAACCTCCAGTGACTTGCTGCAGTTTAAGGGTAAACCTCTAGCAACTTAGCCTGACATCTGAGGCCAACCACATCCATCTCCAGTGGGCCTTCTCAGCACTGCAGAGAGCTCCAGGTGTTAGAGCTGGACCGGACCAGGCTATGGAACTCTGCCACCTCCACACAGCTCCTCTGCATTTCTGCCAGGTGACCACCCAAGCTGTGTTTGAATGCCTTCAGTGACTGAAAGCCCATTTCTCCCCAGCTCACATCTTCCTGAAGAGTCAACATGCTGGCCCTTGTTCTGCCCCTTGAGCTGTATGGGGAAGACCCCTTCCCTCCCATGGCAGCCCTTCACTAGGTGGAAGACAGTGATTCTGTCTCCCGTGAGTCATCATTTCTTGTCATGACCCATCTAGCATGGAAAAAAGATGCCAACCGTGTCTCCTATGAAGTGATCTCAAATCCCGGGCCACCCAGGCACTCTCAACTGTGTACACTTGTATTTGCTTCCCTGGACTGCCTTGACAAAGTTCCACAGGCTGAGTGTTACACAATAGAAAGGTGTTTCTCCCCGTTCCAGAGGCTGAGAAGTCTGAGACCAAGGTACCGTTTGGTTTCTACTGAGCCTTTCTCCCTGGCTTGCAGATGTCTGCCTCCTCTCTGCGTTCTCACCCGGCCTCTTCTCTGTGCATGCGCCTCCCTGGTGTCTCTTTTTGTGTCCAAATTTCCTCTTTTTATAAGGACACCAGTCATGTTAGATTAGGGCCCATCAGAATGGTCTCATTTTATCTTAACTACTTCTTTAGGGCCAGGCACAGTGGCTCACGCCTGTAATCCCAGCACTTTGGGAGGCTGAAGCGGGTGTATCACTTGAGGCCAGGAGTTTGAGACCAGCCTGGCCAACATGGTGAAACCCCGTCTCTACTAGAAATACAAAAATTAGCCGGGCATGGTGGTAGGCGCCTATAATCCCAGCTACTCGGGAGCCTGAGGCAGGAGAATCACTTGAATCCGGGAGACAGAGGTTGCAGTGAGTCAAGATTGCGCCACTGCACTCCAGCCTGCGAGACAGAGAGAGACTCCATTTCAAAAAACAAACACACACATACCTTCTTAAAAGCTCTATCTCCAAATACAGCCATCTTTTGAAATACTGGGGGTTAGGACTTGAACATATGAATTTTGAGGGGAGACACAATTCAGCCCTTAATGAAACTATAGTTAGGTCTGTATGCCCCAAAAGCATTGCGCCTCATAGAGAACACAGTAACTCAGAGCAGTTGGCCGGTGCGGACAGGATAGGCCTCTCTGTTCTCTGCACAGTGTGACCTGGGCCTGCAGCTGATTGCTTCAACAACCTGCCATCCTGTGCCCCAGCTGAACTGACAGTGACCAAACCATTGAGTCCCAGGTACACAGGCTGTGGCTGAGCAAATGTATTCATTCCTACATTTGAGCAATTAGGTCAAAAGGCAGGCTGTATTATCGTTTACCTTATTAGGTTGGGCTGCCTTGTTCCCGCACTCCTGGCTCTTCCTGGATCCAGATAGGGTCCTGTAGTTTCTCCATTCCTCCTCCTCCAGCTGACATCGCCTCACCTGGAACATACACATGCCATTTGGAGTTGCTACAGAGGATGCCAAATGGTTTCTGGCCAACACAAGCATTGGGAGACAGTCACTGGGCGCCCCCTCCAGACTAACCCACACTTTGATGACCCCCCAGGGCTGCGACCCACCGGCCAGGGATCCAGCTGGTCACTGCATCTCCCAGTCCAGTCTCTGCCCTTGCACTCCATTACCCATGGATAGCTCCAATCCAGGTAGGCCCCATTACTGACCTCCTATAGACATTGCTCTTGTATTTCCCTTTCTGTGCCTTGAAGTGAACCAGTCTTCCAGGAACATTTCCAGCAAAGGCCACGACTCAATAGGACATGCTCTGGACTCCAGCTCCCTGGGTTCTTCCCCTCTCTGTGCTATGGTTTCCCCATCTGTAAAATGGGGGTAATAGTAACCTCACAGGAATTTATGGGGATTAAGGGAGTTGGTACATGTGAGAGTTCTAGAACCATGACCCTTCATACTGAGCACTCACTGAGTATTAACTAACGTTATCAGAGACTGCAAAGCACAAGTGCTGAGTGGCTAGCTCTGGGGACAGACTGTTAACCACTGTAGGCCTGGGGAGTTTATTTCATTTCACTGGGCTGCAGTTGTGTCACCTGTATGAGAAATGGGGAGAATAATAGCACCTACCACAAAGGTTGCTACCATGACTAAAGGAGTTAATAAAGCAGAGCCCTGAGCACAGTGCAGGCATGTTGCCTGCCCCTGTGTTTGTGGAGCAGGGTTATTAATGCTCTTTTCCGTGTTGCTGACTATTGAAACCAGAGCCCTCCTCAACAGCCCATTTCAACGTCACCCGAGCAAACACTTACTATCTGCCCACTCTGCCCAAGGCAGTGTGCTATTTGTTTACCTTTTTTTATTCTGAAATAATTTTAAACTCGCAGTTGAGAAAACATTGCAAGAATAATACCGGGAGGACCTCCATACGCCCTTTACCCACTTCCATCAGTCTCTGCCATCTTGCCACGTTCATCACTCTCTCTTTCTCTGTCTGTTGGCTGCAGACATCACGGCCCTTTACACCCATGCGTGTTTGTGTTTCCTAAAGGCAAGGCTGTTCTCTTAGGAAACCACAGGACAGTCGTCAGATTCAAGAATTTAACATGTGTATGTTTTTTCTAATCCATAGATCATATTCTAATTTTGTCCACTGTCCCAATTATATCTCTTACAGCACTTTTCTATCCAGTCCAGAATCACATATTACATTTAGTTACCATGTGGGCTTAAGAATTTATGATTCAACCACAAACAAGGCATGAAGTCCCATCTCTAATATTTATAAGGCCTAGGCAAGAGCATTAAAAGAGATTCGTGTACCAAATGTCTAACTATTTTAAGGTTATTTTTTAAACTATTAATAGGTTCTCTCCACCTACCTGGACAAATATAACTTTATAACAACCTGGAAGTCCATGTTTGAGTGTGGAATTATTGACCCCCTTGGGGTTGTGAGCTGGAATTGATGGTTTGGGAAGAGTAGGCTCCTGTCCCTGGCCTGTAGCCTGTCCTTCTCTTTCCATCCGATGCTAAACTATACCATATGGGGCCTTGCATGCACACAAGTGGACCACCTAGTCTCATTCCCAGTTTCTGTCCACACCCTACAAATGGCTGCCCTCAGCCCACTGCTTAGACTCAGGGGTGTGACACGATCCACTCTTGGGAGGGCCCACATGGGGGAGAGGATCACAGAGGTCCTAACTGTAGGCTTCTCAGATCCATTGAGGCTGAGAATGTTGGTCCCTGGCTTCTGTGGCAGGACCTGACTAATGGGAATGAGACAGGGGCTCCAGATGGGCATGTTCTTCTGGCCTCATAGATTCCTCGCCCTGTGGAGTGGGATTCCATTGAAGGGGCCCAGAGTAGGATTCTTAAACAGGGGTCCCAGACTAGGGATTCCCCCTGCCAAGGTCTAAGGACAGTACTAAATATGATCTCTGTCTTCAAGAGCTTTCAGTCTACCAGAGAAGACAGACAGGTAATTATAACCATAAGGTCAGTGCTCAGGTGGAGGCAAGCCTACTGTGTCATTACTACATGTTCAGAAGGGCCCTCTTCTTCCTCTAAACCAACAGCCTTTTACTAATTCCTCTGTAGTGACAGCAAGCTTATCATTTGGGTAGGAAAATGTATGTATGTGTGATTCCCCACCTCCCGGCTTGTCTTGATGACAGAAATCACGTGGTTTGCTCTGTATACCTTAGCACTTAATATGGTGTCTGTCAGAGTAGATACTCAGAAAATAGGAATGGAATGAATGAACACATGCACAGCTGATTTACAGAAAAGATGAATGGATGAATGAATGGATGGATGAATAGATATATGGATAAGTGGACAATTAGATAGGTGGATGATTGGATGGATGGATGGATGGATGGGTGGATGGATGGATGGATGGTCAGGCAGGTGAGTGGGTGGCTAGGCAGATGGAAGGACAGATGAATGGATAGGTATATGATTGGGTGGGTATATGTATTTATGGACAGGTGGATGGATGGGCCATGGTGAATGGGTGTTTAAATGAGTGGATGATGGATGAATTGTTGATTTGATCTTTCCTGAGCAGCAGAAGGGAAGGGCAATGACAAGTCCTGTTAGTTGTTAGAGGGGTCCTGAGCTGGTCATGTGACTGGCCAAAGTCACTAGAGGATGTCAGCAGCAGAGCTAGAAAGAAAACCCAATGTTCTTTACTCTAAGAATCATCACTTCTGCCATGAAATGGAGCAGCTTCAACCTACAGCATCGTAAAGCCCAATACTCCATTCTCCACTTGTATAGACCCTCCTGCTGGAGTTGTTGGTGCCCTCCCTGGCCAATTTTTCTATGACATCCTACCTTTTTGTTCAGCTCAAGCACCTGCCTCCTCTGGGAGCCTCCACTGGTCACCCCTCCTGTTCTGGGACCCACAGTAGCATTTAGGCACACGGCATTGCTTTCCTGAACCTCCACTTAGCATATACACCCTGGGCACCTTTATTCTTGCTATCTACCTACACCCTACGTCTTATTTCCACAACTAGACAGGGACTGCTCCTCAGAACATCTCTGATTGGCGAGCCTCAGAACTAGTCAGGTCAGCACGCTACCGATGCTGTGAAATTGGGTCATCTACGATATATCTCTCCAAGTTTTCAAGGGAAACCTCTTGCTACATGCCTAAGAACTGCAGCACTTAAAAAATCTCATTAGCCATCCCTGCCATCACAGCTTTCAGCAAAAACTAAGAGCATAAAAACCCGTCCACCATGTGCTCCCAAACGACTCACAGATTCAAAGTGCAGCAACAAAGCCTAGGAACCGGCCACATGCAATAATAAAAAGAAAAGACAAAGAAGATTAATTGCTTTTGGAAACAAAGGACCACCATCAGGACAGTCATAGTATGCACCAGTGGGAAGGCATTTTTAGAAACATCATATTAGTAGTCACAGAGCTGGGCCGAGGCTCCCACTGAGCCATCAAAGGGCCGAGTCATGTGGCCGGTAACTGGGCCGGTGGGGGAAGGTCTAATAATAGTCCTGTTCTTGCTGGCTTTGCACATTTTGGCATCAAAATGTCCCCACCAGGGGCTGCCCCTGGGGAGGCTGGCAAGCAGCCAGGTGACCCCACCAGAGACCAACTCAGCTTCTTAATGTTCTTCGGGGTCCAGAAGGAGGGAGGCCAGAGGGAGAAGGGATGGTTGGTGGCGTAGCATGCAGACCCAGAAAGAGAAAGCAAAGGAGAGCACACACTGCAAACTCTCCCGGCTCCCTCCCAGGTCTCTGAGCCAGATTCCCCCACCCCTTTTCCCTCCCACTGGGACTGGCGGCCAGCTCTCCAAAGAGAACCAGGACAGGAAGCGGCAGCAGGTCTGCAGCTGGGTGCTGGAAAGCCAGGCCACAGGAGGCTGAGCAGGGGAGGAAATTTACTTTGGATGTGGGACCCAGATGGGGCCAGTATGCGGAAGGGGTGAAGAGGAGATCGAGGCAAGATAAGAAGGATGCTGTGATTTAACTAGAAGGGAGGAGGGTATTCAGGTCTGAGAGTGTTAAATCTCTCTCACAGCAGCCTCTGAAGCCACCCTCCTGCCTCTGCAAGCCTGCTGGCACAATACACATGTGCTCTCCAGGCACAAGAACACTGCGACTCAGCTGGTCTGTGGGCTGTAACTGCCCTAATATGGCAGCCACAAGAGGCTACTGAGCCCTTGAAACGTGGTTCGTCCAAATTGAGATGTACCCTAAGTGTAAATAAAATACACACAGAATTTCCAATAGCTAGTATGTACAAAAGAATGCACAATATCTCTCAAGTACGTTGGTCTTGATTACATACTGAAATAATATTTGCATACAGGGATGAAAAGATATGCACATTCATTTCACTGTTGCTTTTTGCTTTCTTTAACGTGGTGACTAGAAAATTGAAAATGACACAGGTGGCTTGTGTTTATGGCTCACGTTATATTTCCATGGGTCAGCACTGATCTATGACCTGATTCATCACCCCTACCTTCCAGTTCCAATGATTCAATTCAATGAACACCTGAGAAGCACTAGGCACTGAGGATTCAAAGGTGCTCTCAACACCTGGCTGCATATTAGAATCACCTGTCGAGCATTCTCTAAACTCCCCCTATCCGGCTGCACCCTAGACTAATTTTGTCAGAATCCCCAGGTGTGGTACCTGGCAGGCATGTTCCTTTAAAGCTCCCCAGAGGATAAGAATGTGCAGTCAGTTTGAGAAGCAGGGGCTTAAAATAGGGCCGCTGGCCCTCAGGGGCTGCACATTAGGAGGGACAGATCTGAAAACTATGGGATAAAGCTGTCAGTGCCCGTGAAGCAGACCAAGGCCAGGGAAGAGGGGCGAGGAAGACCTGGCTCCATTTAGGAATTAGGGCAGTGTGGGATGTTTTGTTTTTGTTTTTAGTTTTTTTGTTTTTTCTTTTTGCTTTTTGAGACAGAGTCTTACTCGGTTGCCCAGGCTGGAGTGTAGTGGCGCAATCTCAGCTCACTGCAACCTCCGCCTCCTAGGTTACAGCGATTTTCCTACCTCAGCCTCCTGAGTAGCTGGGATTACCGTTGTGTGCCACCACACCTGGCTGATTTTTGTAGTTTAGTAGAGACAGGGTTTCACCATGTCAGCCAGGCTGGTCTTGAGCTCCTCATCTCAGGTGATCGGCCCGCCTTGGCCTCCCAAAGTGTTGGGATTACAAGTGTGAGCCACTGTGCCTGGCCCAGTGTGGGATTTGGATATGGCCCTGACTTGGGAGCTGTGCAGGCTGAGGTGGGTCGAGGGGTGAGTTTCCAGGCATTGAGGATGCCGTGGACAAAATCAAGGCAGGAAGGTGCCCCAGGGAGGGAGGACAGCGGGAGGATGGGAGTCTCTGGTTTACCTGGAGTCCAGGAGGAGGTGAGTCTCAGGGAGGAATAGAAGCTGGAAAGACAACTCTGACAGATCCT